GTCACTAAGGAGGGAGGTTTTCCCAAGACTTTTATCAGCTCTCAAATAGCTCAGGGCATTTATAACCACTAATACCGTCACAGACACTGCAGTAAATCAGTTCAATACACTAATCTATTAATTCTTAAACAACAACAAAATCAGTAATCCTGTGGTACTGATAAGACAACAGCAAGATACTTGCAGATTTCAACAACTGGCATTTGGGAATTTCTCCTCATGTTCACACATCTGGATGCATCTATTTGGCACTAAAATTACTATGTTACTGTCACTTCCTGAAAAAAATAGTTTCAGCCATTCTGCAGAAACCACAATCCCTGAAATTATGTCAAATGAGCATTAAGTGGGTTGAATCTTTTTTAGAAAACCTTATTCAAATTCTTCCTTTAAGACAGCAAATATACAGGTTATATTCTCAAACCACTTCTCCATATATCTGCTTTTAATTTTTGAACTCTCCTCAATAAACATTTTAATACTGCAATTACAATACTTTGCTGTAACCCTCAGGACAAATGGTTACAAAACTTCCGTTGACCTTTTGTGATTTATCGAAATGTAAGGTAGAAAAACTGCTCAATATTCATATACTTTGAGTTAAGAAAGCAGCATTCTCTAGCTGACCATTGGCAGACCAGCATATTCTGTCAATGATGCCATGCTGAGTCCAATAGCTTGTGACCAGTTGAAGGAAATCTTTAAAAAGTTTTACAGTTTTGATATTCTTGCTGATATGTTCAAATGATGTTCCCATCTATTAATAATGGACTTTATTTCTAATTTTAGTTTTGGGGTTTTTTTTGCCATAAAAAAAATCTTCAATAGCTAGCACTTACTTCCTATGACAGTATTTATATGTAAGCAACATTCATTTTGGTACCTTTAGAATTATTTAAATCTTTAAGTTTCTTTTAAGGCATTTTCTCAAGCCCTAAGTTAATGTAGTCAGTCCGTTCTTAAAGCCCTGTTCAAAATGTGGACACAAAAAGTAGAACCAGTATTTCTGTACCTGCCTCATCAGTGCCACACACAGAAGTAAAGTCATCTATGATTCCTGTTTATATTCATACACTGAATTAGCTCTTTGTCCCACAACATCACAGTAGAAGATCAAGCTGAATTATTTATTCACTGACTCCTTAATTTTTGCCAGAATTTCTGCTTTCCATAATGCCACTCTGGCCTGCATTTTCAGTTCTTTAAATAAGTAACTTTGGGTACTTTAAAAGGTACTTTTCACATTCAATGGGCCCAGCTTGCCAAGTGATATGAACAGCTCTCTGTCCCTGCCTTGCCATACTTTTACTATTGCAACATTTTCATGCCACGTGCACACGATTTTACAATTTCTTTCATATCACTGAAAAAAATACTCAATATTGCCCAGATAAGTCCCAAATCTCACAGGATACTTAAAAGTATCACCTTCCTGCCCACTGATGACTCCCAGAGAACCATCATTCCCAGACTGAGATTTTCAGCAGCCACTGTAGTCTTCCAAACATATTCTTGGAACTTGGCCACAAACCATGAGAGTTTAATAGATATTAAATAACATCTTGTTTGGTTAACAAGGGGTTTGGTGTACATCTCTTACCTCTTCTGATTTGAATATAAAGGACTTTTTTCTACTAGAAAAAAGGACAGATTTTTTTAAAATATTGCTACTTTGCCAACATGGTTACTCATCACTTTGCATCCTCATTATTTTATTCTTGGTTTGCTGCAACACCATCCTCTTACCCACATCATCAGCTTATGTATCAGACAGCTCTGATGCTCTTAGCATCTTTTATCAATCTTCTCTGCTTTGTAACTTCTCATTTACTGTTTCCATAGCAATCGCTCACATTTTTATTTATTGTGATATTTTTTCCTCTACTTTCCATTGCTATTGGTTCCCACTGGATATTACTTATTTGATTCAAACTTAAATGATTTTTAAGTCACAATATGTTAATAAATTCTTACAGGTAATTTTATTTGCTTGAAAACCCCTAAACAACAATTCTGTATTTTGAGGTCTGATGTAATCGAGGCCAGATATTTTAGTGTTTACTAGACCGTTAATTTCCCAGAAGTCCAGAAACCAAGTGCTAGAATAAGGAATGTTATTTTGAGATTGCATTTAACCAACGAAGAGGAATGTACTGTGATTGTTAAACAACCACGAGAATGTTTTTCATTTATCACATTAATCAGGTTTTTATCTCCCTTTTTCAAACAGCATTTTCATGCTTTCAAATGAAATACTCTAGGCTATTGTCACAGGTCAAACACTTGACATTTTTTACAGTGTGTTCTACAAGGCCCAGCTCAGCAGCAGAACTACATTCACATTAGTACCAGTGTCACTAGTGGACAGAGCCATGATTTATAAGGCAAAGGGGAGCAACAAGGACTAATTGGTCACATGAGGACACATAACTGTGTGAGAGGAATGCATAAACAATGGAGAATGCATGCAAAGGTAGCTTGCTCCTCTGGCACGTCCGAAGGCACAAGACAGATGGCATTGTTAACAGATCTGAGATATAAGAAATTCAGTATGAATTACACATCTAAATTCTTTCCTCCTCAAGACAGTATTCTGACCAGAAACATTCCTATATGAAATAAATTTTGTATAGTTTGAGAAGGTATAATTTAGTAAATTACAATGTAAGAAAACATCTTTATGCTACTCTCCTCACAGTAAATTGATTAAGTCTGTGAATACAACTTCATATATCACCACCACCACACTGGAGACAAAACGCAGACTTTAACATGTTTGAAATACTGGAAATGTCTTTATCTTTTGCAATATGCCCACAAGGGTGTATGCTTATAGCAGAAATTATGACATTCTAGAAGAATTCAATATGCATTCACTATGTTCATTTCTGTAAGGACAGTAAGATATTTTTAAATGTCTTAGGGAGGGCCAAAGGACATTTGCATGTATCAGGCAACCATGCTTCAAAAGAGCTGGCATGGTATACTCAGTAACAGCTGCAGAAATAATGCTAATAATATTGTAAAATAAGGCTTTACATATCCAAACAGCAACTTTTTTTTTAAACTGCCCTTGATCTCTTATCACACCATATTTAGTAACAGCCACCACTGTTATTCTTCAATGTGACCTATATATTGAATTAAAGATGTTCTTAAGAGATAAGCTTTGGACAAGTAAAAAAATAAAGGAGAAAAAAGTCCACCCAAAACCCCTGAGTCTAGAATGGATGGGGTCCACAGAAAACTAATCTCCTAAATGTCAGCTGGAACTCAGTGATCGGTTAGATTTTGTTCACTAGAATATAGAGGTAACACTGACTGAAATCTTCACACACTCAGTGTGGAGCCTGTAAATATGTGCATGACTGCTGGTAGTTTCACAAGTTTCACTGAAGCAAGAAATTAATATGCCTAGTGCTTGCAAGTTAGTGCCCCTAGTTAAGTACATATCGATATTAGAGTTCAAAACAATAATCTGAATCTATTTTCATTATGTGGAAATGCAAATCCGTTTGTTTTGCTGAACTGGTCTGCCCTCTGTAACACCCAAGCACTACTCTCAAAGAATTTCAGTTTGGGAACTCTCTACAGTTTAGATTTAGAAAAAAAACAAGCTTGCTTCTGTCATTTCTGTCCATCAGAAAGGAGCCTCACTACCTGAGTAGACTTGTAATATATTGTTATGTCAGTTGTATTTTATTACCATTGATTTATCCATACAGCTAATGCAATTATGGCTATTTAAATATTATCCTTCAACTATTTACCTGACTTCTGAAGAGAAAGTAAGGCATATCTGAATATAGATCTGTTCATTTTGAGGTTAAGCATTGAGTTTGAGATGTGGTTCCTTTTACTGCTTGTGGTTCTTTCTACTTTTTCTCCCACATATATAAAACAGAGCAGCTTTACAGTATATAGTATGGAAAGTGAGAGACACAATAATCCCAAAGGCAATCAGAACTTAATGGATTTGTAGATTTTCAGTCTTCATTGGAACTCTCCATCTTTTTATTCCCTCCATAAACCACAGTTCTTTATAGCAGGGGTACAGCCCAAAATTGTTTGCAATAACGGTAAAAACTGGCAGGTAGGCAGGTATTTTGTGAAGTTAGGCATGTGAAAATAGAAAAGGTAAGTTTTATTTTTATTTCAGACAAATCACAAAAGAGTAATATAATAGCAAAGTTTTATTATCAAGACCATTTGGACCGCTGAGAGCAATGGGTGTAATCAAGATCTTCAAAGGTGGTATGGGAAGAAAATGAAAACCTGCGCTCAGCATAAAGACCATAGAGATAGGTGAAGTGTTGGCTGGACATCTGATACAAGTAATATTAAAACATTAAAAATTATCTTAAATAGCTTTATCCTTTGTTTCTGGTTACAGGGAGGCTTTTTCCACTTTTTCTAACATGGCTTTTTGTAGGCCTGGAAATTTATGGAACTCTGGATATTAAACTGGCCAAAAGAGCCATTTTGGAACTTAGTAATGTTTGATGAAAATGCTTTATTGAGGAAAGA